CTGGCTGGGTGATCTTGGGAAAATGACTTCACCCTTTTGAGTGTCAGATTCCGCATTTATAAAAGAGGGTCATATTGCCTACCTTGTAGTATTGTTGGAAAGATTAAATAAATTATGTACATCAAGCATGTCAAACTCAAAAGCTAACACAGGCCAAATAAACAAGGTTTTAGTTTATGTGGGCCGCAAATAAAAGCTTTAATTTTCATTGAAATGTAGGTTTATTTCAATAGAGACATACTGAATACAAAGGGCTAAAATAAATGAGTAATCATTAACATAAAATAATAGAACATTTTAATAAAATTTAATATTTTTTCTTGAATATTAACTTACCAGACACTGAATAACTGCACAAATTAGTAAGTTTAATGCAAACAAACTTATTTTTCTTGTTCTCAGAAAGCGAAATATTTCCTGTCGCGCACACCAAACAAGTCAGTACAAGACTAATGACATGGCAATCAGCTGCTAAAATATTCGCTGCTAGTATTAGTGGAGAGAAATGGTGCGCCTATGTGTAAGGCACATAAGGGAAATAAATGCAACATAATTATGTAATCAGTCATTAGCGATCCTTGTAGTTCGTCATTAATAATTATGTATAACAGGATATTGTAAAAATTAAGTTAGGAAACTTTTATTAAAACCTTTCTTACATACCATTATATTGGCTGGGCCTCAAAAAAATATCAGTTGTTGGCCTGTGGGCCATGAGTACATCCTTGATGTAAATGCATATCTCATGCAGTGGTCCTTATAAATAAGGGATGGGGAACCTTTTTCTGCAAGGGCCATTTGGATATGTATAACATCATTTGTGAGCCATACAAAATTATCAACTTAAAAATTAGCCTACTGCCCTAGCCAGTTTCGCTCAGTGGTTAGAGCACCAGCCCATGGACTGAAGGGTCCTGGATTTGATTCCAGTCAAGGATATGGACCTCGGTTGCAGGCTCTATCCCTGGACATGGTCAGAGCCCGTGTTTCTCTCTTTCTCTCCTCCCCCCTCCCATTCTCTCTAAAAATCAATAGAAAAAATATCCTCAGGTGAAGATTAACACACACACACACACACACACACACACACAAATAGCCTGCTATTTTAGGTCAAACATTTAATTAACTCACCCCTAATGTGCTGGCAGGGTCAGGCCAAATGATGTCATGGCCTTATACAGCCCTTGGGCTACCAGTGGTTCTCAACCTTCCTAATGCCGCGACCCTTTAATACAGTTCCTGATGTTGTGGTGACACCCAACCATAAAATTATTTTCGTTGCTACTTCATAACTATAACTTTGCTACTGTTATAAATCGTAATGTAAATATCTGATATGCAGGATGTATTTTTGAATGACCTCTGTGAAAGGGTCGTTCGACCCCCAAAGGGGTCTCGACCCACAGGTCACAGCATTTGGAAGGTTGAGAACCACTGGGCTAGACGTTCCCTACCCTTATTGTAAATAGTAGCAGTATTATAATTTAGCCTTATGTTAAATGACCTCCTTAATCCTGCTCTTTGGAGCTGACAAAAGAATTTATCTCCACCCCCATGGGAAAGCCCTTCAAGTACCTGAAGATGGATCATAGCCTCCCTTAAGTCTCCTCCTGTGCAAGTTAAACATCTCTATTTTCTTCCATCATTCCTCTTACATTTTGGATTTTAACATCTTTTCCTCCTCAGTAGATGTGCCCATTTGAGGACGAGTCAGGATAGACTCTAAGACTGTCCAGTCGGCATGGAGGACATGGGACACCCTCCTCCCTCCATCCAAGTGAACCCTCTGCTCCCAACACCACAACTGGAGCTCCCCTGTGTTTGGCTTCCCTCCCACACTGTCAGGTCACACTGAACTTGGGTCCGCTCAAAACCTCAGGCCATGCCCACAGAGGCTGCTGTGGACTCCCCCTTCCTCTCCACATGCAAGTAATTATTTAATCCCCTTTCTGTTGTTGTTTTTGTTTGTTTTATTTTTTTTTGATTGAAATTTACCTATTACTCTGAGGTGCTAAGATTTTCTTGATGTTAATTCTTGATTCTGACATCAGACTCCAGAACAAACAGTGTGGGAATCAAAGTGCAAAAAAGGTCATGGAGGTAGATTTACACTCAGAATAAGGAGATCTCATTGTTGAAGATATCTAGCAAAGGTCTCAGCTATTACTCCACCAGAGTTTCATTCAGGCCAAGACAAAATTAAACCATGTGCAAAGGGGTGTAAATGGGAAAACTGGGCCTCAGTTTCCCAATAGGCATGAGGAAATGATTCATCAACATTGTCTCTAAGGGCACTTGCAACCCTTAATCCTTGTTCTCTCAGAATTAGTCTGTAGCTTGTTCTCAGAATAAATCTCAAAAGAGAAAAGTGGGTAGGAGTTTCAAGGCTTATTGTTTGTGTTAATAACTATCATTGATACTGATGCTTACTCATATCTCTTTTCCTCCAGGAGACCTCAGTTCTGCAGCTCCCCTAAGAGGTCAGTAACAGCTGTTAGAGGCCACAGGAGCCATGGCAGTTCTGGAATATACTACTTGGTCCTGGAGGGAGGGAGGAGAGAAAGAAAGGGGACTCATTAAACCTCACAAGGGTTCAGTCCTTGGAGAGGTGTGTGCCCCAGGGCAGAGTTCTCCCCCATCCCTTTTATTCCTGCCCATCATGGCTCCTGCACCTTCCACTGAACAATCTCAATTGTTTCCATCATGAACCTGACCCCCACCCTTAGCTCAGCAGAATGCTAAGCTGGAAGTTGACATGATGGAGGGCAGAGGTACCTTTCTGGTGGTCCAGGAAACGTGAGGATCAGGGAGGAGCCAGGGATGCAGATAAAGGGAGTGAAGAGTTAGGCTGGGGAATTAGGGGGAGAGGATGTAATGGAAACGCTTTCTTATTCATTACTGGCCTCACCTTCACACCCAGATGCCCCTACTTCGCTGCACTTTGTGGAACAGCATCGGGAGGACCTGGTGACTCGAGTGACATCAGTGGACACAGTCCTGGACAAGCTGCATGGACTGGTGCTGAGCGAGGAGCAGTATGAGAGGGTGCGGGCTGAGCCCACCAATACAGACAAGATGAGGATGTTGTTCAGCTTCAGCAAGTCCTGGGACTGGGCCTGTAAAGATCAACTCTGCCGAGCCCTGAAGGAGACCCATCCTCACCTAATTGAGGAACTCTTGGAGAAGTGACGCAGTGGCGGTGACTAGCGGGGCTACTGACAAGCTCGGCAGCTGAAGTCTGAACACCTGCTTATGAGTCCTGGCTCTGACTGTCCAGGCTTTGGGTCTATGTTTCTTCAAGTCTAAACACATTGCCATCCCCAGCCAGAGTGGCTCAGTTGTTTGAGTGTTGTCCTGTGCACCAAAAGGTTGCTGGTCAGAGCACATACTTGGGTTTCAGGTACAGAAGGCAACTGATTGATGTTTCTTGTCTCTCTCTCTCTTCCTCCCACCCTCCCTCCTTCCCTTCTTCCTTCTCTCTCTCTCTCTCTAAGCATGTCCCCAGTGAGTATAAATATATAAACAAACAAACACATTGCCATTTGAGTTGCCTCATGCCCTAAAGTTATGGAGCATTGATGATACCTTTGCTGGGCATTATGTGTCCATGCTCAGTGATGCCACACGGGCTCCCAGTCTGCCTCCCTATAATTAGGGACCAGTAGATATTTGTATATCATGATACTACATTTTTCATATCATGACACTACATTTATGTATCATGCTACTACACTACAGTAAGGCAGAATACTGGGTAGACAGAGGGCCTAAGATTGAGAAATATGTGGGAGACGTTAGTTTTAGAGTGCACAGTGCATTTACTTGTGAGACAATACAGAGGGCAGCACAGGAAGCCGTAAGTTCTTGCAGCGGTTCTCAACCTGTGAGTCGTGAACCCTGAAAATACATCCTGCATAGCAGATATTTACATTACGATTCATAACAGTAGCAAAATTACAGTTATGAAGTAGCAACGAAAATAATTTTATTGTTGGGGGTCACCACAACATGAGGAACTGTATTAAAGGGCCACGCCATTAGGAAGGTTGAGAACCACTGCAAGGCCTCTGAGTGCAGAGAAATAATGCATATCATCAGTTATAGTGGAAGCTGATGCTGAGGGAAGAGGCCCTTTCACCAGGAGGCAGAGGTTTTGGGGCTTCTTAATGAGGTCTTGCAGGAGGACTGTGTGTGATCCCCTGGGCGGGAGACTGAGCCTCTTCAGCCCAACTCTCCCTCTGGGGAACCGCTGAGCTGGGAGGTAGCTGCAGGAATGGAGACAGCTCTCCAGAGACGCAACAAGGAGCTGCAGAAGGGCTGGAAACCGCTGGGATTTCAACCTCTTAGGCTTATTATCTTCACCCTCATCATTCCTTAGCACCTGCTGAAAACCTGTGGGGCGCCAGGGGCTGGGAAACATCTGTAAATCCATGGAACAATATGGATGAGCACTGCGACGTGGCGCAGACTCAAGCGACTACGGCATCGGCTGTGACTGTGGACCAGAACTGCCTTCTGTGCGTTTGGCAGGGCAGGGAGGATACAGGAGGGACACACACACACACACACACACACACACACACACACGCCAATCTTCCCTCCCTCCACAGAGTTGAGTCCTTCTCCTTCCCAGGCCTCCCCTAACAGGAACACCACCTTCCACCTGAGCTACTTTAGCTCTTGGATTTCATCACCCAGGCTCCTCCCAACACCGGTAAAAGGTTTCCTGCCACACTCTGAAGGACCCCAGCCAGGATCCCCATCTGCGAAGCCCACAAGCTAAGGGCTTGCAGGCTTGTGTCCAAGAGGTCTGCAGCCTCTGGTCCCGCCCTCCAGGACTCAGTGAGGAGCGTCCATTCCTGGCAGGACAGCTCCTTGGGCGATGGGCCTCTGCTCAGCTCCCAAGCAATGGTAGTGGCTGCAGAGAAGCCTAAAGCAGGAAGAACGCACAGTCCAGGGGGAACAGGGCACACCACCCTAGCAAAGGCCGCTCACTGTGCCCTGCACTCCCCAAAGTCCCTGAGCGCTCAGGCCCCCACCTCCCCGCTCAGAGACCTGTCTGCGCAGCTCCAAGCACAGCTGCCTCCTCCTGTGCAATGCCCAGCCCGGGCCTCTTTGGAAGGCCGCAGGCAGTGGTAGGCTCATCCCTTACAGAACAGTTTGGAGGCTGAGCGCGCCCTAAACACAAATGACAGGTTCCCTGCGCGTGCCCCCACCTCACAAAGTGGATGGGTCCGCGGACGTTATCCTATTATAGACGGGGCCCAACTGCACCCCAAGATTCTAAATATTGGGATCTAACTGCCCTCTCGTCTGACGTTCAGGTGCAAACATAGACCCTTATTTTATTATTGGCAGCTGCTTCGACATTCCTACTGGTGGACAAAGGTAGTGACAAGCAGAGAAGAAACGAAACATAAAAGCTAAAGCACGGACCTCGGAGCAGGGCGCCTGTCTGAGGTCCTTCCCCGACTCCGGGCGGGGTCCTCAGGTCCGGGGCGTCGGGAACACAGTGACACCGTTTGGTGTTTTTTCATGTTTCTGAGGGGCTGTTGCTTAGTTGCGCGCACAGCTGGGTCCAAGGAGAAGACTGGGAGGGGGCAGCGGGGCTGAAGAACTGGGAACCGGGCGGGGTTGCAGCCCTGGGAGCTCCACTTCACAGCAGCGTCGCGGGAACCTGTAACCGGGGGTGGGGATTGGGGTGATGGT